CAAAGGCAGTGCTCAGAGGTCAATTATACCAATAAACACAAACATCAAAAAAGAAGAAAGGGACAAAATCAAAACATTAACTACACAACTCAAGCAAATAGAAAGAGAAAAGCAAAAAAAAAAAAAAAAAAAAGCCCACAGCCACCAGAAGAAAGGAAATAATAAAGATCAGAGCAGAAATAAATGAAATAGAGAATAGAAAAATAGTGGAAAGAATCAACAAAACCAAAAGTTGGTTCTTTGAAAAGAACAACAAGATCGATGAACCACTAGACAAACTGATAAAAGAAAAACAGGAGAGGACACAAATAAGCCATATAAGAAATGAAATAGGGGACATTACAACAGACCCAACTGAAATAAAAACGATCATAACAGAGTATTATGAAACTCTATACTCCAACAAATTTGAAAATCTAGAGGAAATGGACAAATTTATAGAAACACACTACCTACTTAAAGTGTCACAAATTGATATTAAAAATCTGAACAGACTCATAACAAGAGAAGAGATTGAAAACGTAATTTCAAAAAACTCCCAACAAAAAAAGCCCTGGCTCAGATGGCCTCAGTGGATTATTCTACCAAACATTCAGAGAAGTGCTTATACCAGTACTACTTAAACTATTTCAGAACACAGAAAAGGAAGAGATACTTCCAAATTCATTCTATGAAGCCAGCATAACCCTGATACCAAAACCAGGCAAAGACACCAAAAAAGAAAATTACAGACCAATGTCTTTCATGAATACAGTTGCAAAAATTCTCCACAAAATTCTAGCGAATAGAATTCAGCATCATATCAAAAAAATAATACACCACACCCAAGTAGGATTCATACCAGGCATGCAAGGATAGTTCAACATTGAAAATCAATCAACATAATCCACAACATAAGTAAAAGAAAAGAATCACCTGATATCAGTCAATGCAAAAAAGGCATTTGACAAAGTCCAACACCCATTCCTGATAAAAACTTTCAATAAAATAGGTATAAAAGGGAAATTCCTCAACATACTAAAGGGCAACTATACATAACCAACAGCCAACATCATTCTTACTGGAGATAGTCTGAGAACATTCCCCTTGAGAACAGGAACAAGACAAGGATGTCCTTTATCACCACTCCTATTTAACATTGTGCGGGAAGTCGTAGCTAAAGCAATAAGGCAAGAAAAAGAAATAAACGGCATCAAAATTGGTAATGAAGAAGTATAACTGTCCCTATTTGCAGATGATATGATACTATATGTAAAAAACCCAGAAGACTCCACGAGAAAACTACTGGAACTAATAGAAAGATTCAACAGAGTAGCAGTGTACAAGATAAAAAAAAACAAAAATCCGTTGGATTCCTATGCACCAATAAAGAGAATGATGAAGAGGAAATCAGGAAAACAATACTATCTATAATAGCCCCTAAAAAATAAAATAAAATACTTAGGAATAAATCTAACCAGGGATGCAAAAGACCTATACAAAGAAAACTACAAAACACTACTGCATGAAACCAAAAGAGATCTACATAAATGGAAAAACATACTGTGCTCATGGATAGGTAGACTCAACATCGTGAAAATAACAATTCTACCCAAAGTGATCTACAAATGCAATGCAATACCGATCGAAATAGCAACAACATTCTTTAAAAAAATTGAAAAAACAATCATTAACTTCCTATGGAAAAGAAAGAGGCCCTAAATAAGTAAAGCATTACTGAAGAAGAAGAACAAAGTGGGAGGCCTCATACTACCTGATTTTAGAGCCTATTATACCGCCAGAGTAGTCACAACAGCCTGGTACTGGTACAATGACAGATACATTGACTAATGGAACATAATTGAGGACTCAGATGTAAATCCATCCACCTAGGGTCACCTGATCTTTGACAAAGGCTCAAAGTCCATCAAATGGGGAAAAGACAGTCTTTTAAACTAATAGTGCTAGCAAAACTGGATGCCCATCTGCGAAACAATGAAACAGGACCCACATCTCACACCATACACAAAACCTAATTCAAAATGGATCAAATTCCTAAATATAAAACCAAAAACTATAAAGTTCATAGAAGAAAAAATAGGATCAACCCTAGAGACCCTAATACACGGCATTAACAGGATACAAACCATAACTAACACAAACAAACTCCAGAAGATAATCAAGATAACTGGGATCTTCTAAAAATTAAACACTTATGCTCATCAAAAGACTTCAACAAGAGAGTAAAAAGAACCTACAGACTGGGAAAAAATTTTTGGCTATGACAAATCCGACAAAATCTGATCTCTAAAATCTACAGGAAAATCCAACACCTCTACAACAAAACGACAAATAATCCAATTAAAAAATGGGCAAAGGAAATGAACAGACACTTCACCAAAGAAGACATTCAAGCGGCCAACAGACACATGAGGAAACGCTCGCAATCACTAGCCGTTAGAGAAATGCAAATCAAAACCACAATGAGATACCATCTCACCCTGGCATTACTGGCATGAATCAAAAAAACAGAAAATAACAAATATCACAGAGGCTTTGGGGAGATTGGAACTCTTATGCACTGCTGGTGGGAATGCAAATTGATACAACCATTTTGGAAAATGATATGACATTTCCTTAGAAAGCTAGAAATAGAAATACCATATGATCCAGCAATCCCACTCCTAGGAGTATATCTTATAGAAATAAGAGCAGTCGTATGAATAGACATACGCACACTCATGTTCATTGCAGCATTGTTCACAATAGCAAAAAGATGGAAACAACCTTGATGCCCATCAACAGATGAATGGATAAACAAACTTTGGAACATAAACACGATCGAGTACTGTGCAACGATAAAGAACAATGATAAATCTGTGAAGCATCTCACAAGACGGATGAATCTGGAGGGCATTATGCTGAGTGAAATAAGTCAATCACAAAAGGAGAAATATTGTATGAGACCTCTACTATAAAAACTCATGGTTTACACACAAAAAGAAACAATCTTTGATGGTTATGAGGGAGGGGAAGGATGGGGGGGAAGAACCCTAAATAGACAAGTGGTAACTTTGGTGAAGGGTAAGGCAGTACAAAATACTGGGGAAGCCAGCACAGCTTGTTCTGGGTAAGGTCATGGAAGCTCCATGGACAAACTCGAACTCCCTGAGGGACCGAATTACTGGGCTGAGGGTTGTGACCATGGTCTCTGGGAACGTCTAGCTCAACGAGCATAACATAGCTTAGAAAGAAAATGTTCTACATTCTACTTTGATGAGTAGCATTTGGGATCTTAAAAGCCTGTGAGTGGCCATCTAAGATACGTCACTGGTCTCACCTCTTCCAGAGCAAGGGAAAGGGAAGAAAACTGAAGACACAAGGGAAGATTAGTCCAAAGGACTAATAGAGCACAACTAACATGGCCTCCACCAGACTGAGTCCCGTACAACTAGATGACGCCCATTACCATCACTGACTGCTCTGACAGGGATCACAACAGAGGGTCCAGGACAGAGCTGGAGAAAAATGTAGAACAAAATTCTAACCCACAAAAAAAGGCCAGACTTACTGGTCTGACAGAGACTGGAGAAACCCTGAGAGTATGGCCCCCAGATTCCTTTTTAGTTCAATAATGAAGTCACTCCTAAGGTTCACCCTTCAGCCAAAGATTAGACAGGCCCATAAAACAAAATGAGGCTAAAGGGGCACACCAGCCCAGGGGCAAGGACTAGAAGGCAAGAGGGGACAGGCAAGCTGGTAATAGGGAACCCAAGGTGAAGGGGAGAGTGTTGACATGTTGTAGGGTTGTTAACCAATGTCATAAAACAATATGTGTACTAACTGTTTAATGAGAAGCTAATTTGTTCTGTAAACCTTCACGTAAATACAATTGAAAAAAAAAAAAGAGAGAGAGAGATTAAGTAACACGTCCAGGTCACACAGCTGGTGGGTGGTGGTGCCAGGCAGTCTGGCTCCTGGGGCTGGGCTCTGAACCACTGCATTTTGCTGGCTGGAAATTCCCCGTTCTTTTCTTGCTTTCAGGTTCCCTCATTCCCCTACGAGTCATTCCTTCATCACCACCTTCTTCACCAGACTTTCTATTTCTGCTATGTAATCCATTGCTCTTGGTCCCAAATTCCTAAGTGTTTAAATGCAGCCTCAAGCTCCTTAAATCACCTTTACCTTTAGGCTTTTTTCCAGATTGTTCCATTTTATTCCACGTTTTATCTTTCCATGAGATGCCTATGTACAAGTTGTAACAATCACAACGGAATGAAGAATAACATCTACTACCATACAACTAGATTCCAAGGGGATAAATTAGAATTATGGTTTTCTGACCTGATACCAAATACTTGATACTTGGTTCTGCAGTATGAAAACAAATCTGAAAAGTAATAATAACAGCTAACAGTCACTGTGTGCCAGATATTGTTTCAAGCACTTTACACTATGAACTCATTTAATCCTACAACAACCCTGTAAGATAAATTCTCTTATTATCATCCTATTTCACAGTGGAGAAAACAGAGGCACAGGGAGTTTAAGTAATTTGCCTAGTGACTAGCCAGAGGTGGAGCCAGAATGGGTCTCAGGCAGTTTAATAGCAAAGCCCAAGCCATATGCACTGCATCACAGTCTCCATCCTACAAACTCCATGGGCAGAGAAATATAACCCTTACATTTTAAAATCTTTTTTACTTTTTTCTGACATAAGGAGCAGAAATTTCTTTCAAATGATCTGTGTCTGTTTTATACGTCATTTCAAAACTCTTTCCAATAATCGTTCCCAAGTGCCAGAAAACCCTCAAGGGCTTTTTCCTTTCCTATGTAATTATTTTTTGTTACTATTTTTGCTCCTTTCCCCTTAGAAGGTTGCTGGAATAATAAAATTCACTGAGATTTCAAAATAACTGGAAAATTTACACTTAGGACATGGCGATTAATACAAAATGTGTTTTCCAAATATATGCCCTGAAATCGTGGTTCAGATCATAATCGAAGGAAACCTGATCCCTAGGGGTGTGGGTACTATTTCTGCATTGCTCATCCTGGGATGTCCAGGAGTGATTCACACTTGCCCTGTCTCCAGACTATCTCCAGTGGAAGTAGGTGACTCCTGCCTTTCAGTGACTGCGTTTCTGCGCTGCCAGCGTTGCTCCTGCGTTATCAACATTCTAACCTTGTGGGAAGGGCTGTGGTAAATTTCTGGAAAGTAGATAGGAAGTTGCTTTTTTAAACAGCCTGACATTAAGGGCAGGCAGTGAGACTATAAGAAGTCTGGGTCAGGCAGAAGGCAGAAAGCCAGCAGAGTCCACAGAAGAGATGGTAAGTTCATTTGTCTCACATGTGGGAAGTGGCTGAGTTGAACGAGGCATAAGGAAGCTTGGGGCCGAATCAGGACCCTAATGGTTAAAAAAGCGAACAATAGCCAAGAGTCATGGAGCTTTACGTTGAATAGCCTTTTCGAGTTTGCAAGTACTTCAGAAGCTGCTGTCTCCTTTGACTCTCCCCATAGCCTTGTGAGGTTGAGGTTATTCCCATTTTACAGATGAAATGTGTGCCTCAAACTGCGCCTTGCAGAGCCTGGGTGGTTTACCTGAGGCTGCACTGTAGGGCTGGACACTTTCAGGACCTGGACACCTGTCCTCTGGTAAATCTACAACCTCCTTCTCCAGGACTGCTCTCCTCTCTGGATTGAATGGAAGGCTGAGCCAGTGCCCTGGGACAAACCTGTGGTTGAAAGGTTCTTCATCCCCAGCCCTTCTATTTCTTTCTCTGAGACCTAGGAGTCTGCTGAGACTGATCTGGAGTATACCCATGGTTTCCATTTCTGTGATACGTCTTAATCCTGTTTGTGACTCAGTTCTCTCATCTGTAAAATAGGTATAACAGTAGTACTCTATTTCATAGAGTCATTGTGAAGAATAAATAAGATTACACTGGAAAGCATTTAGATATGAGTCTGGCACATTGGAAGTGATCGATGAATGTTAGCTATTATTGTTGGGAGAAAGAGAAAATTTTGGGGGGGTGGGTATAGTGGGGTTGAGGATCCAGGGAAAATCCATGAAAGACAAGGCGTTCTTGCACACAGTAATGATTCCCTAGATCAGACACACACAGTTAGGTCACTTTTAATTTTACCCCTGGCTTACCAGGAGTATCCCACACTGTTCTAGGGTCCAAAATCCTGCAGTCTGCTGCTAGGGGACCAGGCTAGTCTCTGCTACTGGCACCTCTCTGTGAGATTCCAGAAGAAAGCAGCACTTACAGCCAATTCACCTCACCTCTTGGCTTTACTATCATACACTTTTCAAATGCTTGAAATGAGGTGTCTGTGTTGGGGACAACGGGGATGAAGAGAAGAGGAAGCAGTTCAAGCCTGTCCTGAGTTTGAACTACAATGACATAAGAATGTGAATTAATTTTGTCTTATCTTCTGCTGTCTTACTTTTCCTGAATTGGCCAGCTTAAATGAGTGAGCAATTATTTGTCTCTTCCTTGTATCCTGTCTTTGGTATCCTCCTCACTTTCAGAGACATATAAACATACTGGATCATGGAGTCCTTTGAGATTCTGATTAAAGGCACAATTCTTCTTCCAAGACAAAAATGCAAACAACTGCATAAACCTCAGCCTTTATAGACAATCACTGGGGGTTCTGCGTGGATCCTGGGTTAAGAAGCCACCCTACAGCCCTCTATGCTTAATGCGCATATGCTCCATGGGGAAGGGGCACAGTAATGATAATAATTACTAATATAATAATAATAATGAATATTTATCGAGCCTTTGCTGCATGCCATACACTGGGCCAAAGGCCTTAATTTTGTGATCTTGTCGAATCCTCAAACAGTGAGGTGGGTACTCGACAATGAAGGGCTAAGGACTCCAGCCCTGGAATGTTTTTAACGTCCCAAAGACAAGACCTCTTCCTTTACCCCTGAGCACATTTGGATCCTGGGATTTAGGAGCCTCAAAGTGTCTGTGTGATTTCTGTTTGAGGTTCAGAAAGTGGCTCCAATTAACCTCAAGGACCTCAGGAAACAAGGCTAAGGTGAGGTGTTTTTAATCAGAAAGACTTCAGAAGGGGAGCTCTTGAGTGGAAGCTTAAATTATGTTGATATTACTCAAGGTTTAGTTGGCTAAAACCTAGTAAGCTGTGGATTCTCTTCCGTTATAGTTTTTAACCATCTTAGGTCTGTAACTTTCAATTCTTGCTCTTCTTTCATTACCTGTTTTCCAAAATGCAGCTAAGTGTTCAGACTCTTGGGATGGCCACCGATTCTGAAAATGTGAGCCTCAGAGTTGTGTAGGTGGAAGCTTATTAACCAAATCCTCAAAAAAAATAAAATAAAATAAAGGGACTCACAACAGAACAGGTAGTACTGAGAAAAGAGTTTGGACCTAACACTAGAGAGTAGGTACATTGTGGTTTCATAAATGGCATTTATTATATTGTCTTCTAGGTATTTAGCTTCTCTAATTGAAAAGCAGAATAGAAATTCTATAAAGTCAAATAACTAACCCTTTGTATTTGGAGGGCTATAGCTTGGCTATGGTCCATCAAGACATTTTTTATTGGCATACAACTTTATTTTTAATGCTTATGTTTTGCCCTAAATGATGATTATTAGTAGTCTTGGTTGAATATATGTTTATATTCTATGTCTTAGTGTCCTGGGCTCCTTCCTGCCTTTATTTCTAACTTTTTATTAGGCAACCTCTTTTCTCACTAGAAAACTTCTTTTCATTTTTCTACCTTTAAGCCAGACCTACTAGTATCTGTGCCACACCATCACTCCTCTCCCCAGAAAATTAAGAGAAATAATATTATATCAGTTGTAATGCCTTGTAAAGTCTGGGTTTTGCCACCAGCAAGTTATGTAGGTTTACCTCCTCAGTGACTCTCATATCCACCTCCCCACTTGCATTCCTATTGGCCCCAGTCCAAGCCAGGTCTCCTTTAACTCCCACTGGTTCTATTGCAGAGTCCCTGGGTGGCACAAATGGTTAAGCATCCAACTACTAACCAAAAGGTGGGGAGTTCAAACCCACCCAGAGGCACCTCTGAAGAAAGGCCTGAAGATCTGTTTCCAAAAGGTCACAGCCTTGAAAACCCTGTGTAGTGCAGTTCTACTCTGCACACATGGGGTTGCCATGAGTCAGAATCAACTCAGTGGCAAGTAGTTTGGTTTGATTTTGAGAGTATTGCAGTAGCATCTGTTCCTGTTACAATCAGCACCCTAAAATGGGTCCTTCTGACGACTGGCATTACAGAAACTCAAGAGCTGGTCCCAGCCTACATTTTCAGTAAACTTTTAGGACCTCCCAGTTTTCAACATGAATTAGACCACATCACTTCCCCTCTTAAAATCCTCTGCTTCTCATTGCACTTAAAAAAATATCCCAGCCCCTTGTCCTGGCTTACAAAACCTGGAGTGATATGTCTTCTGCTTTCCTCCCCAGCATCATCTCACACTCTTCTTCCCATCACTCATTCTATTCTAGCCACACTGATGGCTTAATATTATTTGAACTCACCACACCTTGCTTCCACCTCAAAGCCTTTGCATTAGCTTTTCCTTCTGTTTTTGATTGTTCTTCCTCCTGCTTCTCCTGTGGCTGGCTTCTTCTGGTTATTCAGCTCTCAGCTTCAATATCACCTCCTCAGAGATGTCTGCCCTGACCTCCTTGTCTAACATAACTACCCAGTCAGTCACTATCAAATAGCCAAAAAAAAAAAAAAAAAAAAATGAATTGAGGGGTGAGGGCAGGAGATGAGACTTGATGAACCAGAAGAGGTCATGTCTTGAAGGGTCTTGCATGTATCATCTTGAAGGGTTTGTATTTATCACTCAGAGAGTAGGAACAGCTGAAGGATTTTAAGTAGTGAGGCAATATGGTCACATTTTTATATTAGGTATATCATTCTGGCTGCCTTATAAAAATAGGATTGGAGACTGGTGATTCTAGAAGAAAAGAGACCAATTAGAAGACAATTGACATAGAAGAAATGATGGTATCTGAACTTGTGCTGTGGCAATGAAGTAGAAATTTGGAGAATGGCAAGGTATCTTGTTAGAAAGTAAAGTCAATAGGATTTGGTGGCAGATTGATGTGAAGGGTTAGTGCAAGAGAGGGATCCTAGTTCTTCTCTCTCTCGTTCCACTTGATGGAAGATCTCAGGGTCTGTGTGGGCAGATAAGTAAGGGGGCTTGGACCCGTTCTTCTGTTTATTAATAGGAACATGTTGTTGTTGTTAGTTGCTGTTGAGTTGGCTTCAACCCGTGACAACCTTATGTATAATAGAACAAAATGTTGCCTCGTCCTGTGCTATCTTCATGATTGTTGGTATGCTTGAGTCCATTGTTGTGGCCACTATGTATTTTGAGTGCCTTCAACCTAGAGGGCTCACCTTCCAGCACTATGTCAGACAATCTTCTGATGTGATCCATAGGGTTTTTATTGGCTAATTTTCGGAAGTAAATCACCAAGCCTTTCTTCCTGGTCTATCTTAGTCTGGAAGCTCCACTGAAACCTGTATACCACAGGTGACCCTGCTGGTATTTGAAATAGCGGAGGCATGGCTTCCAGCATCATAGAGATGTGCAAGCCACTATAGTAAGACAAGCGGACAGACAGGTGGTGGAATAGGACCATACATCCCTCATACCAGCTCCCTTTGGTGCTAGAGCCTTTCAGAGGGTCACCCAGTTCAGAGGGCTTGATTGAAATTTGCCTGCCCTCTTCCCGCCATCCAGGAGCTGCTGCCGTTTGATGCCTCTTGAGGTATGGAAATAGTCCTTCTTTCCTCTACTTCCCACACGGAGTTAAGAGAGTGAGCCCTGCTTATTAGTTCTCCCACATGGAATATACAAGACAGTAAGCCATCATGCCTCCTGTTTCTCTCACTCACAAAGAATGAGACAAAGCACCAGTAATATATTTTGCACAGCCTTTTTATGCTTTTCTGCCTGATTATGATACATATTTTTACTTAGATATAATCACTACTGTGATTGTTCAGCACATTTCTATCTTACTTTTAGATACCCCCCCATCATTTATTCATGCATATTTATTAAGCATTTGGTCTACTAGGGCTGGGGATTCAGACTTGAGTGAGTTATAGTCCTTGCCCTTGAGAAGTCTCTGCAGCATCTCCCTCCAGCTATATGCTCTTATGTTTGCTTTGCATTTGGATTGTGGGGCTGATGTTCAGGAGACAAGTCAGGGATGGAGATGCTGTATGGGAGCCATTGGCAAACAGATGACCATAAGGGCTCCTGGGAAAACAGTGAAGTGAGAAGAGGTGGGCCCCT